AACGTATGCAGATTCCAGTGATTAAAAAGTTGTTCCTGAATTTTTTTTAACACATAAATTATTGTGCACACAAAAATGTCACCATAAATGAGTGTTTTACTGTGAGACTCAAAAGAAAGGTGAAATATTCAGCTTAAACAAGTGAAAATTCAGTATGAAGAGCTTTTGAGTTGTCTTTTGCACTTTATATGTGTGTAATTTCATTTTTATGGCACAAAAAAAAGAAAAACACACACAAACCTCTCTCTTTCGTAGATGAAAGATAAAAAGAAACCGACAAATAAATCCTAATGCTAAAAACCTCCAAAACATTTGCAGGATTGTGCTCAAGTTCTAGAAGTTGAATTACATGCCATTCATTCTTTGCCTCTACAGGACAACAGATAGCATCTTTGCACAACGGAAATTAAGCAGTTTAAGTTCATTATAGTTGAGATTTTGTGTAAACGAAAGCTTTAAATGTTCAATTTTCTTTAATTTCAATGGAAAACATTTTTTGTTTCAGGATAACTAATTAAGGAAACCGGTTGTGCAGAAAACTGAGGCTTAATATTTACTATAAAATTACATAGTCTATTTTTCTTTAGATTAAAACAGAATTAAAACTCTTGAGTTTCATAAAGCTACTTTAAAATAGGTTGAAGTTCAGCAATTTAAATTCACTCTTTCCAAACCATCTTCCTATAGTTTTACATATACTTATGAAATATCATATCTTTTTCAGATTACTGGAATAAGCAAGAGTGAAATCTTCTCTTCAGTAGTTACTGATAATATGTCTCTATAATTCTTTAATCTAAACTGAATTACATTATGTGGCTAACCCAATTAGACTCCTAAAGCTAATCCTCTGTGGGTGGGTGGGGGGGATCTCCAGAGAACAATACAAACCTCCCACACAAATATCTGCCACATGACAGACTGGGGTAGCGTCAGGACTCATATAGCTACAGGACTGGTTTTAATGACAGTAATCTAGTTTTTTTTGTCGTGTTTATTAGATTGTTATGCAATTCCAGATGACATTTTAGAATAATGGAGGCTTGATGGCGAGTGGAAATCAGAGACTGTTGATGTGAATGAAGAAAATATGAAGTATTGTCTCTGGAAACAAAATATCATGCTGTAACTGGAGAAAGCAAACAGTAGAAATCAAAGTTTCAACTGTTTAGTCAATGTATGAGGGAGAAAACAAGATGGATACCCATGACTCTCATATTTGCCCACTATTCACGTAGGTACCTGCTGAGCAGCTTTAATTAGCCCAATGTTCTTTTGCTTATCTAATTAAAAATGCACATTTCTATTATTAATGTATGTGAGGAAAGCAAGCAGGTGGGAGCTGAAAAGGGCATGCACAGTGTAATGACACAAACAATCCAATTGGTTGCATTTATGGAATTCTTTTTGTGAGAACAATAGTATACAATATAACATGCCATAACATAGCATAACAAATTTATTTAAAAAGCACTTTTTACACTCAGCAGGACCAAAGTGATACACACAATCATAACATTCAAATAATAAATCATAAAAACAATAAATAAAGTGGTGTATAAAAGAAGTAATAAAACACCTGTAGTTTGTCTATTTTCCATCTGTGCTCAGCTCTGCAACATTCTCTACTGGCAACTCGAGCGTCATCATTTAACCAGGTGTTCATGCCTGGTTTTAGAGTGTCTAATTTTTAATGGCACCACTGAATTTTATTTCCTGCCATCTTCTGATTAAAAGCTGATGAAAAGTGACCAGCAGTAGAAGGGTTAAGAACACAACAGAGCCAAGCTGCAGGACGAGGTTTAGCTTTGGTAAAGGACAACTCTATTCTGAATAAAACAAGCCTGTGATCTGAAAATAATGGGTCACTCATCACCAAGTTAGAAACTTGGTAGAACATATGAAAAAAACCAGACCAAGAGGATGTGTAACAGTGTGTACTTTTGTATCTAGTATAGAATTTAATCTATGTTAATGAGATTTTGCATAACTTATACCTCAAAGTAAGATAAGGTATTGGTATAGCATTTCTGTTGCAAGACAATTCACTGTGTCATACATGAATGATAATGTATAAGATAACACATTCACTTTCATCTAAAATATGTTTTGGTTTCAGAATTTTTGCAGTCTTCGGGCAGTTCATTCCACATTAGTGGAACATAAGAACTGATTGCTACTGCTCCATGTTTGGCTCTGGTTCTGTCGATGCAGAGAAAACCTGAAGCAGAAGACCTGAGTGTTCTGGAAGGTTCATATGAGGACAACCAGTTTCTGTCAGATAAGAAATAAGCGCACAATGTAGCCCAAACCCAGAAGATTAATTTCTGTCTCTATGTTTTGCTAAATGATTAAAGCTGTAATTTAGATGTTGTAAAAAAAGAAATGTATTTACTTTATTTACTACAAGGCAAACTTAAACAAGACCTCAAATAAACTGCTTCCTTTTGTGACAGTTTAAATCTAAAGAAAAACGACAGGATTGCATTAAGAGTGATATTCACCTTATATGTGATCGGTTCATCTGATTTCCTTTAGTTAAGTTCAAACAGCATGGGTACGTTGGCCGTCACAATACCCAGGGAGGAGAAAATGCTAATTAAAGTTGATAGAGAGTAAGATTACTCCCAATGAAATGTGTTATGTATGGCCAAAGGCAGAAATTCCATCAGAGAGGAAGAACTCAATGCTTAATATGCATCATACAAATAGCCGGATAACAGCTTTAAAACCCCCAAAGGAAGAAAAATATGCATCATAATACTGATGCAATTGAATTTGATGTTTGTCTTTAATGGCCCTTTTTACATCTGTAGGGATGAGGGGGATGCCTACAATTCGAAGAAAGCCATCCCAACTGTTATGTGTGTCTGTGTTTGGTTGCAGGAGGGACTGAGACATCAAAAATACTGCAGATGCCATCTTTGGGAAAGAAAATCCCATTTTAAGACGTCAAATAGAAACTTAAGGCTTGAGAAGAAACTGATAGGTAAAATATGCAATAACTCTACTCATTGAATTGAAAAAGCTTCCTGGATGGGAAGCAAAATGTTTTCAAGTCCAGTGGATTGTTTTTTTTTTTTATTTCTTTGGAAGAACCCTACTCACGTTGGAAAATTGATTGTTAGAAAACCACTTTTTGCTCACTGCAAAAAAAAATAAAAGAATGAGCTTCCTGTTTCCTCAGCACAGCCCCAGAATGCTTCATTGAGCAAGTAAAAAGCAAAAAGACCTGCAGGAGTAATGAACTATTCCCTGCAAACTATTATGATAAAGTTATAGAGGGGTTACCAATAAATGTTTTAACAGAGTAGGTCAGTTCAAAAGCTATTTTACCAGATTCCAAAGAAATGTATAGGAAATTATTTAAAAAAAAATCTCTAGTAAAATTTCTGCAGTTATTTTGGCTATTAACAAACAGAAATAAGAGTAAATAAGCCATAATAACCCCAACTGACCTTACACAGGAAGTGTAATTTCTGATTTCATCGTAGACAGTGATAAAGTATACTTAGAATGAATGTAAGCTTCTGGGTTCAACTGTATTAACAGATGCAAGGAATATTTAGTTCTAATAAATATCTTAGTATTTCAATAACTGTTACTAGCTGGATTAATCCTGCTTAGTCTTTAATTACCAAGGAAAAGAAAAACTTCAATGTCTTATTTTTAGTTTTATACTTTTCGCATGTATGCTTGAGTACAGGTCTGTGTACTGCCCATATTTTGTGCAGCATTCATCCTTTTCTTAATGACAAAGGGGCTTAATTGTTCCTTTTGTTCAGAGAGCTCTTGTTGAGAAACATAGAATTTGTCAGGAATATTATTAAAACTTGTTCAACAGGAGATTCTACCTCACTGTTAAACAACAGTCTTTTTAACAGTGAATAAAGAACAGATCTTCCTTTTTATGTCACTATGTCATGCAAAGTCTAGTCTTTAGGAATATATCAGTTTTCACCAGACTTAATTGGAACTGGACTGAAGCTGTGAAGGAGACTACTTCTTAAGGAAGTGTAGGTTCTTCTGTAGTTGCATCTAGTCTGTTTTGGAGAGAACAATCTCCCCTGCCAGCATCTGCTGGGCTAAGAGTATCAGAGGAAAGTGCTTAAAGAATCTCAACAAGCTGAAAATAACCAGTGACTGCTGATAAAGAAGGCTACCTCTCTTCTAGAAACTCCTTTTCAGCCTCTGGAGATGATTTCACAAAAAAAAATAAATAAATAAAATAAAATAAATAAAAAACTTCATAAAATAAAGAATATTATGGACAACCCTAAGTGCCCCCTTTAGAAAACTGTAATACAAAAACAGCAGTGTCTTCCTTCAAAGGCTTCTCCACATCATGTGTAGAGGGGACATACAACTACAGAGCTTTCCTGCCTATAGGAATATAAAAGAACAATGCAATTAACCGGCCGAAACAATGCAAAAAAATAAAAATATTATTGAAATAAAAGAAAAAAAAACGAGTTCCTACAACATTTAATTTCCCTTTGGGTATTGGGTAAAAGTATTTTTGAATTAAATTAACTGTATTTTGGAGAACATAATTTGAAAATATAAACCCTATGAGATAAGTTATAAATAAGATTCAAAACAGGCTGCTTTCAGCAATTATCTCTTGTAATTGCTCATTTACCATTATAGTGTTTAAATTTAAATATAAAACAATGTATAGAAATATTAGTTTTTTTTTTATATTTGTCTTTTAATAGATTTTGCCTCCCTCTCTCCAGTTTTTTTCACGTCTATTGGGGTGTACAAATTGCTTTCCTTATCAGTCCTCAAATCTACCACAGAAACCGCACGTCGCCTGAGAGCTACATCCGAATCTGTTGCTAGAGCAACGGCCTCCCTCTATCCCATCACGTTTGTACTTTATCATCCATTCATAGCTCTATCGCGAGAACACGTAACGCCTTCTATTTGAAAACGCTGATATCTCGCGAGACTGCAACGGGGGAGAGGCAGTGACCTAATCGCCGTTGCAAGGCGGAGCGAACCGCTGCAACTTTGGATGAACTTCTGATTTGAACACACCGAGAGGCGGTTGGTGAAACGCACGGAGCGCTTGATAAATAAGTGCAGACTTCAATAAGGGTTTCTGCTTATCACACATTGCAGACACTCTTCATTTAATTCCTCAATTGACCAGCGAGAGAGGCGTTTTTTTTTTTGTTCTTTCTTCGCGAGGAGGCAGACAAGGTGGAAATGAATAAAGGTAAGTACATTCACGCCTCTTTCAGTGTTCGCAGTGACACACAGGAGAAGCAAACGCTGAGGAAAGCTTCTTGTCAGTATTTCTTTGTATTTCCAATCGATTAATCTGTCAAGCTAAGGTGACATTTAGAAGAAAAAAACTCAACCAAAAAGTTTAGCTAACGGCCAGGTAAGTCTGTCGCTCTGCTCGTTCATAATGGCTAACGTCCAAATTAATTAGCAGCGTTTCTCAAATGATTTGTCAGTTATGAGATAGGATGAAGCTTTTTTTTTTTTTTTTTTTTTGCGTAGCTTTCTGTCCCATTCATTATGCCCTAACACATAAGATAACGATCCACCGTTGGAATCAGTAGACAGGAAATCAAAGATAATGATAATTGTTTGTTTTAGTCATTCCGTGACTGCAGCAAACTGCTGCCCTGCTGTCGCGGGTTTCCTGTCTGTCTCTGTCTCGCTGATCGACCCCCTTTTTTGGGGGGGACTTTGAGTCCTAGTCAGAGCAATGCTTGTGCAAAGGTGCTATCGAGGCTCTCATGCTACCGAAAGGGAATTTAAACCTGAGCTCATGTGGGGGTTACATTCCACTGCACTCTTTGCATAAAGCTGCCAATGTGAAGTCCTGCAGACTTTTTTTTTTTTTGGAGCTTCCTTAAAGGAACGTGTAATTAATCAGGCATAATCTGTCATTTGCAAAGAAAAACTACCGTCGGGGAGTTTGCATGGAGTTTGCACTGTCAAGAGCTATATCATTAATCAAAATGGCGGTCTGGGTAGACAGATTTGAAAAGTGATACAGCAGATGTTTTTCTCATCAAGTGATTTGATAGAAATGAGCTGTTTTATAGATAATAGCTTTGAAGTTTAATAATAAATAAACCTTCTCTAGTCTCAGACCTTTCTCTCTGCCTTGAAGGCATCCTGGGAGGAATGTTAATTGTAAATGGACCCCCCCCTATAGTCGCTCTTTCTTTTGTTATTATTGCCCTGTCCACCTGTGGAGTCTTCTTGGGGCTACCAGCTCCAGCCCTTCAGGGGTCCAGCATGCACACTAGAGGCAATCTGCTTCCCTCTTTTGACAACTCCTAAATGAGCATGTCAAAAAAAGACATAAATGGAAATTTTCCACTTATAGCACAATTGCTGTGATATCCAAGCACTTATTTCTCCAGGAATGCATTTAAATTGTTACTGAGCTTTTTTTTTTTTTTTTTACCCTTGAATTTTCTGGATCGGATCCACAAACTTTTATATATTAGCTATTAAACATCTAATGTGAGCTCAGCTTGAATGCCAAGGCTGAGCCGATCCGCAGGCTGTGTCGCATTTACAGTATTAAGTAGGCTGCTGAAATTGCCTGTGTAGGTGGAGGCGCGCATGTTCTGTCACACATGGAGCCGGTGAATAATGAAGGATGTGGGAAAACAGAAAAGGGGGAAATATCGGAGCTTTTGATGGAGAGCTGGAAGATTATTTGTAGAGCTGATCATGTAGAATAACTGAAATTGTATTCTTGTTCTTTGGTTATATGGCTCACCTAGGGTGAAAAGTTTCTTCAGAGGATTTTGGGCTAGATGCATTGTGAGCACAGATGAGAATTTTCCTTTAATCTCTCAGAACATTGGTTATTTTTCAGCTTTGTTTCAAAAATGGTTTCCTTTTGGAAGAGGTTATATGACTGTGTTCTTGGAGAGTCTTAGAAATAGTTCCTCAGGAAAGAAAGGACCTTTTGAATCCCAGCACATGCAATGCATCACTAACAGTGGCTGGTGATGGGGTTTCACCTGTTTATGACCTCCCACGCAGTTACTGTTTTAGTTCTGTTGCTCTTTCCTCCATCTGTACCACCTACGATCCCTCCCTCCCTTTTTCAATCTCTGCCGGAGTCTTTTTTTCTTTCTCCAAGTCTCACTTTCTTCCTAGTATGGGATGCCAGGACTCTGACATTCTCATTTCTACCCACAACTCTCACCTCATTTGACCCCTTTTTTCCCCCAGTTTTAAGAACTTGTTCATCAGTCTATTTGGACGGACTTCACTGATCTTTAGGGTGAATAAGAATGTCTGAAAAAATAAGTCTTTACCAGAGAAATATGGAGAAAAGTAAAGGTTTTGTTTGGAGATGCCCTGGTCATGGTTTTAATTGCCAGTACCAATTTCCAATCTTTCCCTTTTCTTTTTCAATGAATATAACATTCAAGAAAAAAAAATAAAACAGTCTTGGATTTAGTTTCAAGCAAAAAGAAAAGCATATTATTTGAATTTATCCATCAACCGTAACTTTAGTCGGACGTTTTGATATAAAACTCATAAAGGCAGGTTAATACTTGTCATACTGGGGCGGTGGAAGGTCTTTAATTTCTGATCAGAGCTGGTCTGGAGGAAATAATCATCTTATTCCAATTTCTGTAAGATTTGACGTATTGTTACACCTCTGTTGTTGCTGATGAAAGGTATTAAGCAATGTTAATTAACTTTAGAAAGAAAGGAAATTGATGTCTGTTTTTATAAAACAGTTTGCTGAATTTAGTTGCATATAAACTAAAAAAACTGTGAGGGTGATATATAAACTGTCTTTAAATATGTTTAGTGTGGCCTTTTACTGTGCTATGTAAAGATAATTAGTTTAAGATTATATTCTAACTTTATTTATTATTGTCTTGCAATGTACTTTTTATTGTGTGTTTTCATTTATCGACAAGGGATTGAAATTTCCTAACTCTAAAAGCTGCTAAATAAATAAACTTGCATTGGCCTAAGCTGCATAACTATGAAAAAAAAATGAAATTGAAATATATTATCATCCACCCTCATTGAGGCTATGTATTAGAATTAGAGCTACACTAACACAACATGCTAACTGACTGTTATGTTACGCATGCTGCATTGGTCATAATCCAAATTCCTCACTGGGTGTTCACCGTTTCAAATAGTAAACAAAGAAAGCCTTTAGATAAAGACATGGATGTAGCTTTGCTGGAATCGCTGCATCTATGTGCCCTTTTGAAGCGCTAGCCTGCATTTCATTTTCTTGTAGCAAACAACCCTTGCAGTGCTTTCTCTGATATGTGAAATTGCATATCACTTTGATCCATAGTGTTTTGCTGAGGATGAGCACTGAAGCCCTGTCGAGGCTTTGACAGGGTCTCTCATTGCCGTTAGAGAAAGGGAAACTGGGTTCAAGGGTAAGCTTTTACTTGTATCCAATTCACCTAAGATAAGAGCTTATGAAAGGAAGGTCTCTGGTGTTGGACCTCGTTCTTTTTTTCCCCATGTTTTTTATTGCGTAAACATGAAATGACTCCTCTATCACAATTATAATGTGAATTTAAAAAAGTGGATTACAGTGCATAGAAGCGATGGAGTAGAAAACAGCTGCCTTTTTTCAGTTGGGATAGATAAAGAAAAACAAAGAACCTCATGAAACAATAACTGCACTGGCTAATCCATGCAGAAGTAAACGGAGGGAACATACTGCACAGATGGGGAGACCTGACAGAATATAATAAACTGACTATTTGTATGGCAAAAAAAAAAAAGTGCTTAAATATTTAGATTTGACTAGGGAGACTGGATGGTTGACCATTAACAGAAATGTCATACTAAAATCTAATAAAACATAAACAAAGATTGGAATTGGGCTGTTTTTCAAGTCTAGATAAATCGGGTGGCAAAGATTTCTCTATTGTTTTTAAATAGGCAGTTGTATTTTATGGGCTCATCTTAGTAACTGAGGTCTGTTTTGTCATACATAATAATTAAGCCCTACTGAAAATATAGTGAAAATGTGAAATGGTCCACAGTGTATTTAATGTCTTGTAAAGTAGGGTTTATTTATGCATTTGAATTATTTTCTGACACAAATTGTTTTCTTGGGCTCCTCCAATCCCTCTTTGTAACTCCTCTCTGACTTGGTTACGACACTGGAACAACGCAGCTGAGCACAAGAACTGTTAATCTTAACTTCTAGCAAGCTAGGGAACATGGTTGAAATTCCTACCAACTGTCTTGCCATCTGTTTCCAAGCAGAGAGGGCTTCAAATTTCTGTCGTGGGTTATGACTAAAAGGATGTTGCTACTGTTGGCTGCATGTGCTGGTATTTGTGAAAGAAGTGCTATTCTCACCCAGTTAGGCTTGCTAATTGCTAATGTCTCTATAGAGAGGCTGGGAATCATTAGTGCTTCGTTTTACATACCGGCACTATTGCAGATGGGGCTCATCAACAGAAATATTTTGTATCACTCTCTCTGATGGTACTTTTTATCTAGTTAACATGAAAACTGATGTATAAAAGTAAGTATTAAACAAAATTTAAGCTTTAAACTCTAAAGCTTCAGCTTTTTCCCATATTTTTTTTCTGTGATTAACCTGACTTGACTTGTATCAAATATTGATTAAGTAAAGCTGCAATGGTTGATCTAGGAATCTATATGATGTGATGTTTAAAACGCCGTTTTTTTTTTTCTTCAAGGCTTCATTTAATGACCGACTTGCCTTGATTGCAGAGTATAACAAATCATATCTTTTTGCTGCTGCTTCAACTTGTGCAGCATGCTAGCTAGAGAATGGAGACCATCCATTATTTTACTTTAAATTTGAGTGCCAATAAATAATTAGTGTAAAAGTTGTCCAAATAACAGATATTTATATAAAATCGATCCTCAAATCATTAACTATGCTACGACTTTCTCATTGCCATACATTTTGTATTTAATGTAAATTCAAAATTTGTATTTATCTTTCTTTTTCTAAGTCAAATGTGTTTATTTATAAACAAGTTTGTTATTTTACACCTTATATAACAGCACAAAATAACAGGCTTATGAGACAAGAGCATTGGTAATAATAGCCATAGAATAGTATTAGTAATGGCACCAATTATTCAGCCTTTTTTTTACCCTGATTATTGAATGTATAAGACCTAAAAATGTTCTTTTAAGTGGTTTGATCAAGTTAAGGTGTGAAATCCGTGCTTTGATCCAAATATGAGTCGGTGTTGTACA